TTTCTCTGTCTTTTAGATAATGAACAATAAATAGGAAAAAATACTGTGCTTTTATTGATAAAATATGTATATTTAAACAGATAGATAAAACAAACCAAGAATATATATATCGAGTAATTAAAGACAAAAGAAAAAAAGACCAAAAAGGTTGTATTTTCAACGACTTCAAGTTTTATGTTGAACCTTTAATATGGTCAACTATTAATAATTATTGAATCTATGTAGAAACCTAATTAATTAATAACTGATAGTTTAACTAATTTACTGATTACTCATTAGATTCACTGATTTTATAGTTATTTCAATTAGTGACTATAATCATGTTTCCTTTTTAATGATGAAATTATGTTTTTTTGGCAACTTATTTATTCTTCCTATAAAATCATTTGAATTGTTTAAAATAATTCAGAGAACCTTTTTTTAAATTTATTTGTATACTTATTTATGGTTCTGTACAGTTAAATATCATCATAGAATAATATTAATGGATTTTCATAATGAAAACAAATAGTTAATCACAAATAACTCTATTCTTTACGATAACTCAGAATCTTATAGTAAAAAATTACTACGTAAAGAGATTCGAGTTCTTCTATCGTTGTAGAAGATATTAACCCTTCGTTTGCCAGTTTAAGAAAGAAAAAACGATTTTTCCGACAACTCGTTATAACTAGGTCATGGTGCAGCTCTAGTGTGTGCCATAATAAAATAATGATATAAAACCCTCTACTGTCTGACGCATGCTTTTATGCGAATGTATACAAAAAAAACATACATAATAAGCGATTGTATTGTTTTCATACAATGATAAGACTTGTGACGCATATGCATCGTCGGTAGCCAAAGGATTAAAAAGATTAATTATATTGACATATTAATATATCACATGGTTCTAAGACCTGCTTCGTGAAGTTTCCATTTTATTACATGTTTGTCTCTAGACATGTACCAAACGAAAACTCTTCGGATAAAGTCAAACCAATGTGACCTCATGAATCAAAGTCAAACTGGCCAGGACCAATGGTTATTACTTCTCTCACAATATATTGTCTCTCTTACTTTATTGCTCTCTTCTCTTTCATATTATGCAGATTTTTTTCTTTCTTGTCGTCTATTTTAAGAGAGAGAGACGTTCCCTTCGCCGTTTTTTTCTGTCACTGAAGTTATTTTTTCCTCTCGTGTCACGCTTGTTAGGTTTTTTTTTATGCTTATTATTATCAAATGTTTTGACGTCGCGTATATTCCTATACCAAGTCTACCTTTCAGAATAAAAACAAAATACATTCGATCAGACAGTCATGTTTTTCAACCTTCAGAATTAAACCCTTTAGAAGTTCGCATAATTTCACGATAGGACTGGATCAATTCAAATGAATTGATACTCTCAATTTATACGATGTAAAACTTTAAAATCCACCCAGATCCATTTGTTTTTCACAAGACATCTTCAAAATTCACAATCGGTCTAAAGAAATATAAACTTGTTTTACTATTTCTTGGCTAATTGTGCAGTTTTTCATAAAAGAGACGTAAGTTTTTCGTTTTCTACTTTCATTTTAAATGATGAGTAGCATAATATCAAGTATTAAGTTCATAATAATCATATAAGAAAATAACAAACGAGCATAATATTGTTAAGACATAGCTCTTCCGTTTTTTGAAAAGAAACTCACTACGTTTGTCTAGTGAAGGTTTTCAGTTATCAAGGAAACATTCTCAAATGTCTGTTCATTTTTTAGCAGAAGTTTAGCACATCTTATAGGCCTTCGTAATATATATCTACAAAAAAAAATGTACTTCCCCATAACTTATATCCGAAAAAGGTCGAACATATTTAATGAGTGTTGTTTGTTTGGTCCCGCATTTTCGATTTTTGACTTAAAACTTTGTGTACCTCAAGATTTAAAGTGGACTTGATTACATAAAAAAGAATCTATATCTCAAAATTTTTGTATCTCGTGGAGATATATTTTCAACAGTCTGAAATATTTTATGAAAGTTAAATTAATGTCTTTATAAAGGTAAATTTTCAGATCGAAATATGAAATTATGGTCTTGTTGTAAATGTGAACTCCCATTGCTAGAAATGATTAAAAATGTTCGATCTCCGAAGAAACAAGTTCTGGTCAGGAAGTATTTTTATGGTCGACATACACTACTAGACAAAAGTATTTCTCCACTTGAATCTTAATCTCTATGAGAGCTAAATGTCGGAATATTCTCACATAAATAGTCCACCGATAGTATATGCTAATGGTACCATCATCGTAAAAATTGATGAAGCTAGAACGAAGTTAGAATAGGCGACATCCATAGTCCTGTGAATCTCATAACTTGAGAATAGATAAACATATTAAACTGTCGAATCTTTCATAGTGTAGCACTGCATTATGGCTATTGCTAGTATAAATTTTATCGAATTTCAGCAAACTGTTGACGAAATGGACTATTATTGTACTGAGAACATGGATATGAAAATGAAGAACCATAGAATGCCATTGAATGGTCAATAACTCAGCAAGTCTTCGTTGGATGTATCTGAAGATTTTAGGAATTTTTTCACAATAATTGGCTGTTATTTTCTGAACGGTTCAGAAGTAAAAATTTTATAAGACGAAAATAGCGAATCGATGACCTTCGTAAAGTTGTCAGAACTCTGAAACGTCCATTATTCAAGCAAATAGAATTATCTTTTGAGCAATGAAGAAACATGACTTAAAATACAATCTCATACTGAAAGATCAATAAATACTGATATTTTACTTTAAAAACAATATATAAATAGGTAAACCTATTTTTTCTAGTTATCTACCGAAGAGAGTGTTTGTTTTTATTGTCAAGAATTCCCATGATGAACCTTTTCAAACAGTTCGAAATTCTTACATAGCAGTAAAATCTAGCTACCTTTGTCGAAGCATACAGTATTCAGATTGAAGTTTTTGAGAATTATATGAAGGAGGTCCCCCTCACAAAGGAACTTTTTTATTTTTCCATCGAATTCAACCAAAATTTCAGGGAATATTAGTCTTAGCTAGAGTAGATTATGATTAAAATATCTCCTCAAATCTGCGATATATTCACGGGTTCTGGTCAATTTATTGGTCAAATATACCCTGTACGCGGGTAAGGTTTTCACAATTAGAACACAAGCTAACATAGCGGGGCTGTTTTAAAGTTGTAAAGTACCTTTGACGCTAGACCCTCACAGATTCCGATCTTTGAAATTCCCTTTGTTTGTTTTATAAAAAAAATCTTCTCCGAAAAATTCTCGAATTCATGTCCAAAAAAATCGCTGATAAAAATGAAATATGTAAGCTTTATATTTTGCCAATAGAGAAATTTGAAAATCGGGCTCTGTGAGGATCTAGTCCTAACTGTCCTCTATGCAATAAAAAAATATTATTACTTCTATATTGAATCGTTATTGAGTAAGGTTTGTCTGCGCAAACAGTATACTCGAAAAAACGAATTTTAGAAAAAATGGAAAATAAGTTTTTAAAAACCTTATTTCTTTTCAATATGTAGGTTCAGAAAAACTTATGTAATATTCTTAAAGCTCGTCTTAAAATCAATCAACTATAATGCATTCGAGACTAGACACTTTGCTCTATCTAACGAGTTATAAATCACAAAATTGATGAATTTGACAAAAACTGACTTTGTCTGAGGGGGAGAGGTCCTTAAAACTGCACAAAATACTTTAAAGTATGTGAGTCTATAGTAACTGTTCGCTTAAATCTTAATTATATAATCTTCTTATAACATTATAGAGATCGTATCTTTATTTACTGTAAATTGGTATAGAATTCGTGTGAAAAATTATAGAAATGTCTAGAACAGAATGATTTCTGTTGTTCCATAAAACTCTGAAATCTTTCAAAACGATTATCTTAGTCATATCTTGGCAAATAAATACAGTTACTTCTTTTGATATGAAAGAAGCAAAAAAAGAAATTTACTAATTCATGTGTTGTTATTTAGGTCATATATGGTTAATTATTAATCTCTCAGCATGAAATTGTAGTCTAACCTATAGTCATTTATTCCTTAGAAGATGATTCTAATTATTTACCTGAGTAATGGAGACTTCACAGATCTGACAACATCCCAATCATCATCAATGTACCATTTTCATGAAGTGAATTCTTTGCTTCTAAAACTTTTAGAAGACGATGACCAACTTTTATAAAACAGCTCCTAGAAATTCTACAACCATCCATCAAACATTTGCGAAGTTATTGATTATTGAATAGCATTTTGTTGTTCTTTTTTTTCATAGCCATTTTTTCAATAAAAAAATAGTTTAGGGAGTCAATAGCTTGCTGCTTTTCGACAAAATTTATACCAGAAATAGCTGTAATTTAGTGCTATAAAATGAAAGACTCGACTACTTGAAAAACTTATATTTTTGAAGTATGAAAAAAAAATTGTTTCCACTAGTATTAATTATTATTGGCAAAGGTTCATCGCTGTTGATAGTAAACTTGCGTTTTCCATTTGAAGAAGATATATCTTTCTACAATAGATAAGAAATTTATGATCAAAAATTCACATATCGCTCATTTATTGCCACATATAGTCTTATGGTTCTGTTTAAACAAGGCACAGATTATGTCTAAGTGTACACGTAAAAACTAAGAGGAAAAAAGTGAAAACTCCATACTTCACTATACGTCAGCATACTTTTGAATTACGAAATTCTTGCTGTTCCCATTTCGATAAGAACAGACCGAAAATTGTGTTCATATGATCAATTACCGATAAGTTTATTAGGGAATCGATGAATCATTATTACTAATATAACAAGAATAATATCAACCTAATTATCAAGAAGGGAAGAATGAAGGCAAGGTTTATTCGAAGGCAATAGTTCTCCACTCATACATTGTTATCGTCAGTGAGAAATAGAGCCACTTTATTTGTCGGGGTTTTGTCAAGGATTCGATGTGAATATAAATGCATGCTCGGTACAATGTAGACTCCAATTTTGATCTGAGTCAATGGCTCAATTCAACCTACCACTTCGTATAATTGCTCAACCGAGAGCATCATATCGTGAAAGATATTTATGTGAAATAGATCGCAGTCACAATAGATCACAACGTTTTATTCGGGCTGAAACTAATCCATACGATTTGAACTATCCAACAATCGAAGTAAACAAAATTTAAAACCCTTTTTTTCCCTTGATTTCTAATATGATTGTTAATTAGATAACAAAGCAATGGAATACTGAAAGGTTGTATATTCGTGTAACTTTAGTTACCGTGTCGAGTGAACAAGTGCCTGTAACTTGCATACATCCTTATCCAATTGATACTTCAGAATTAAACGTTATAAAAGACATAGCAAAAAATACACTTTATTTTCCTGTATCAAAAGAAGAATTAAACAATGGTCGTAAGAGGTAAAATGGAAAAATAGAAATGTTAGCTATATAATTTACTTCATTGTTTGGTCAAATTTAGTTTTCAAATTATTCGTGGAAAATTAACCCAAGATAAATTAAAAAATTACGGACAATTCTGTATTTTGAATACAGGTAATGAAACAAATTCAAAAGAAAAACCTTATTTACTAATTTGTTTTGTTTCTATAGATGAAAAAGATGTTTCACGTACACATGATCCATATGATGCTCGAAAAATAATTAATATTTATCAATTAAGAAAATCACAATTACTTTTTTCTATAGCTGAGCTGTTTCATGAGGACCTATTACCTGGTATCTATGACGAAACATCTGTATATTCTCATATTATGACTGCTATTACAACAACTGTTAATGACAACGTATCATTAGTTAGATATGCACCAAAGCAAGGTCACTGGCAAGGTGGTGATGAAGTTTTAATGTTTATTCCAAAACTTGATAAGAGAAAAGGTAATTGATTATAATCGTTTTTTTTTTGGTCATTGTTGTTTAATTAAATCTTTTATTTTTTCTTCTCTAGTATGTCAAGTTTATCTTCAAGATTCGTCGTCAAATAACAAGAATCTGATTCATTTTGAATTCGTGGATATGAAAACAATTACATTCAAAACTCCACCATGTCCTATACAAAAAGCTGGAAATCGAAGTATACAAATTCCTATAGTTGTTAGCCTAAGTGGTAAAGAAATTGCACGTGTTTGTTTCCTCTATCAATCATGTAAATAACTTGGCTTTCAGAAATAGAATATTGAAATTTTCTCTTTTTTCTCTTCAGCTGACGAAGATTCAATTTTGTGATATGGCTCTTCTGTTCGATTAGTATTATTCAGTAAACACTAACGAACGATCTTTACTATTTACAGATGTTTAAATAATACTGACATGTCTATGTATCCTAACGATCTGCTTTATTATGTTACGTGCTAATCTAAAATTATGAATTCCATAGTACTAGATTACAATGTGAAAAGTGAAAAATAACTTTTTCTAATGAAAAAATATTCTATGCTACGCTGTATATTTTTTCATTGTCGAATAAAGCTTATTTTTCTATGGAAAAAATTTCTGTAATTTTGTTTCGGTGACTATTCTTATATCTTCTTTTTTACGAGAAAAAAAAGTTTTCGAACAAACCTGTGTCTGTTCGGCTCTTTCAAATTTCAATGAATCTTAATGAAGGATGAAAGATTCATCAAGCTTTGATTTGTTATGTAGGAAGAAAAAAACACAAAAATACAACTTTGAATTGTTTTTTATCATGTTGCTTTTTCTCTTGTCCTTTACTCAATAAAGTTGAAGTAGGAATATTTCAATAAATTATGATGCAAAAGAAATTTCATATCAAAGTCATTATTAAATAGAAATTTCACAGGAAACTTCATCTATTATTAATTACTAATGGGATAACATCCATATGGGTCATGACCCATACCTAGAGAAAAAATAATGAATCATGTGGACTAAAATGTTATCAAGGAAACACTAAAGATTAAAAAACATGTTGATGAAGTTCATAAAAAATTAGAATTTATACCATGACCGGAACTGAGTTTAACATAAACAAGAAGATTGAAGATATATTATAATTTTTAATTATAAAATATCAAATATCCATCGGGATTTCATAATAAATATTCAACATAATTGATCTCACGTGTGTTAACTATTAGATATTTAATAAATAAAAATGAAACATTATGATTCTTATCTACTTGTATAGTTAATCATTATTTCTAACAAAGGGTGGGCGTGTACTGTTGAGCAAAAGGATTGAACATGTTCAGGTCAATGATCATTTTCACCGAGAAACTAACAAATTTAAAATATGAGTTGCCTATGACATGTCTAGACAGAGATATTCAATTTTAGAGTTACGCATATTTTAGGTATAGAAACATAATAAATAAGAGCCAATCCCTATAAGCTATGATTAACCTTGCTGAATCGAAACCATCAGATGTTGCTCAATTCAGAATATGCTGTAGAGCAAAGAGTTTGAATAATTTTGACACAAGCTGTTTGAAAAAAATACAGTGGCGTTGTCAAGATATGAAAATATTTCTGAGCCCTGTCGTCAAAAAAATACTTGTGATTTTTGTGACATTCACATCTCATCAAAAATATATTCGTTTGGTTTGAAATTTTTATTATGCATATATCTCAGACTGATGTACTCATCATGAAAAAATGAGCTCCAATGAATTAACTTTAGGTGAGTCGAAAAGTTGTACTAGGTACATGGCAAAATGGTCAGTTTTCAGACAAAAATCATAAAAAAGTGTTTTTTTTGACAATAGTGCTCTCAAAAAAATTTTAATATCTTGACAACGGAACAATATTTTTTCAAACAGTTTGAGTCAAAATTATTCAAACTCTTTGCTCTACAGCATATTCTGAATTAAGCAGCATCTGATGGTTTCGATTCAGCAAGGTTGATCATGGCTTATAGGAATTGGCTCTTATTTATCATGCTTCTATACCTAAAACATATATTTTAAGTCTTCTTAAGGATGAAAAACTTCTTTCACATTCACATACATTAACTGGAATTGTCCATTGTAGTTGTAGTATAGGTAGGGGTTTGCAAAATGACTTTTTTTCAGTCTCAGTCCCGGTCCAGTTCCGGTCTTGATTATAGCTAAAACTTTCTGTTTTCAAATATATCAAGACTTAGAATCAGTTTTTCCTCAGATTACACACGCCCTTCATACATGTCAGCTGGTACAGTACTATTCGAGGGGAAAGAAATGTCTGTTATCTGAAAAAGTACCTTAAGATTTGAAAGACTAAGACTTCTATTTTTAGAACTAGTTCCGGAATTTTTTTTGCAAGATTAAACCTAAGTTTTATTTTTCTGTTCCCAACAAGTAGCAAAGTTTTTCTCCAACAACGATGAGTACAACAACAAAACTAAGCAATTCACACTAAAAATAGCAGAACAATGATAAAACATTGTACATATAAGGAAATGTTTCAACTGCTATCGAATAAAATCTTTGTATATTATGTTTTGCATATCTGGAGAACTGTTGATGTTTCCAAAAAAACCCAATTTTTGGTAACATGATCGTAATCTGTAAAAGGCTTGTATTGGATTAGAGAACAACAACAGTCTATTTACAATTTTTCGATTAAAACAGATTAAAAAATATGAAAATATTTTTGTATAATAGTTGAGAAAAATAAGCTGACCGGGAGCAGCCTGAAAAAGTTTAAATCCCGGTAAAATTGAAATTTTAGTCCCGATCTCGGTTCCGATCCTGCCGGAACTGGAACCACTTTTCAGGCCCCTAAGTATAAGATGTATCACATAACTCTTGTACTAAGTTTTCTGGTTTTCTTGTGAAATAATATGAGAGTTTACTTTTACCAGATATTTGGCAAATATATGGAAGCCTAACTATTAAATCATAAGAAAATCGAATAGATTACAAAGCAACGAAAGCTGATCGAGAGTTTTCTGATGTAGCAGGAAAATAATAGAAATAATGGTCCTTGTTTTTCTCAAATCATGTAATGCTAATCGATCTTAAATTTGGCAAAGATAGATGTCGAAGATATATGATGAAAGGAGACTCTTGGCAGGAAATAAAACAAGTCTTATAATGCATAAACATTCTTCAAATAACCATCAGAATACAGATTACTAGGAGAAGCAATAACTTTTATTGCTACCCCTAATTTTCTGCACGAGAAAAAATTGTTTCCCCTCGCTACTATGGCGCACCGCCTATGTTCCTACGCATTTCTGATTACATTAATACTTATGGGCGTGCTTATTCTTTCCATCTATATCAAACCAGTATGAATTTCCAAAAACGGAACCAGGAACTAACATCCCTAGCTATGAGCAACTCATATTTCAAACTTTTTAGTTTCTCGGTGGAAATAATCATTTGACCCGCACAATGTCAATCGTTTTGGCTCAACAGTATATGCCTTTCCATGGTACGTAGAATATTTGATTTATACAATCATATCACTTAAAGAAATGGAATCTTAGACATAACTTATTTATTGTCATTGATGATAGAAGAAAAATGATTCAATTCTTTCCGTGTGACATTCTTTTGTTTTTTCTGTCCTCATATTTTTTTAAAACCAATACAATTTGGCTGAAGTGATTTTTTTTATGCTAATACGAGCAAAAATACTTACATTAATATAAAATGAATTTGTTGAAAAAAAGAATTTCTTATCACAACCTACATTGTAATAACTGCGAATAATGAATTTATTTTTCAAATATCATCTTTCATTAAAAAAGCAATCGTATATATGATACACATGACTTTGAAAACATACATGTTTACAGATTTGTAAAGTAGATGCTTACGCGAAATTTGCCGATTGTTTCAATTTTCAATTCTTTAGGAGCCATTGCACAAAAGAGATGACTAAAACACAGACCATGCGCTCAATGGATGTCATGAATTTCAACGAAAGTTTGTCTGTATGAAATCTTGAGTGAGATGTATTAATACTAGAAATTTTAGCTTTTAAAACTGTTCTCTTGTTGAAGTATTTAATATACAACAGAGGGATCATCAAGTACAAAACTGAGCATAATCAATTTAGTACCCATGCATTGCTTATTTCACCATTATCTAATAATAAATGTTATAATTATGAAGTTCTACGAATATATACTAAACTCGGTATTCAAAAAATCGACACACTCAGAACCAATTTTTGATGTTTTAAGCAATGTAGAGAAATTTCATAGATGCAAAATATACTCTTTACCTGGTGATAATCATTTCTATCTCTATGAGAAATCAATGAGCTTCCGCTTTGAAACTAAGTACTACTGCCATTTCCAGCAACTACTAGGAACAATTTATAAACTATTGGGTTTTCGATTTTCATCCGATTGAAAATCTTCTCTAGTATATATATAATCTATTCAGAATAATTATTATTCGACTCGCAGAGAGTTTGATGATAAGTTTGTGTGATTTTGAAGTATAAACTGAGGATTACAATGTCATGCAAGAATTGATTTGGTACGTTTGAGAACGAACTAAAGGATCTTATTGAAAGTAGATCGGTAGAATGGTCTCTTTTCCATGCGTAAAGTACTCTTATTCGTTCAGAAATTAATATGGCAGGTTCATCGTATGAAATAAGTTTCTATCCAAAATAAATCAGCATATGCTACTCTATTGACTAGGTGCCAGTGTGTGGGTATCAGTTCGCGTTTTTACTACAACTATATTCGCATTCATTCACACTCAAATCCATACATGGATATACCCAAACTCGTACTAAAATATACTTACAGCTAGGTCAACACACATTCTTGTCCATACCCTATGCCCCAAAGACATTTATCTATTCTCCAATGCACATGTTTGCTTTGACAGTTAGGCTCATTAGATAATGAAACATATGCAATAGAAATTCTATTTAGGTATCCATTCTTTTCTACTTTGAACTGTCGAACATTTTTCAGATTAAGCAAATTTTGCATTAGTTTGTATCATTCTATTGATTAATGACATTTTTTTCGAACTATTTTTCGTTCAGAACCTAATTATTTTTATTAACTAGATAAAAGTTGATTAAATGTTTTACATCGTCCATTCTGAATTTGTCGTTTTTTAACCTCTAATATTCTACCAAACATTATTTTCGAATAGAATACAGCATGCTGTGATTATTCTCTCCTCAAACAATATCATCTGTATTTAAGATTTTTTGCTATGGTTGAAATATTGTTCTTTTGATAGAAACTCAACTTTGACTACGTATTCGACTATCACATAGAATTTGATTGAAAAGCTAAATGAAATTTACACAACACAAAAATTCGTTATCGTTTCTACGTTAGTTGGCACAAAGAATTACTAACATCTGCCATTTGATGAAAAAAATCTGCAGTTTCCAGGATTTTTTTATTTTTATTTTTTTGGGGGGGGGAATAATTGAAACCTTTTATAAATCTCGTTATATATATTGTATTGTAAAATAATAGGATCTAGGCTAGGAGTAGATGTCTAGTTGAGAGTGATGGACAGGATCGACTCTTCAGAAACATGGCTCTCATTTTATACAGTTAAAATGTATTATATACTATCAATAGATAAGTGCAAATGAATCTAGATAGTCCCTCATTGCTTATAGGCATAAATAAAAAAAAAAGCTCTGACGATTATAATCAATACGACACCATCAGAATATTGTAATATTCATTTAATAGTTTACTGCTACAAGTGTTCAGTATTCTCTAAGAGATTTCTTGATTGTTGTTTATCATATAATCTTGTATAAAAGTGTGTGGAATGAATGATTGTTATAGTTTAAACTTGATATTTTCTCCTGTAGCAATGAACACATATAAATGCAACCTGAAGCCTTTAAAGTATTGTTACATTATAATTAAAATAACTTGTAACAAGAATTGATTTTTTTTCTTACATCATCTTAATTAAGCTAAGAATACAGACAACGATTGTACAATGTTCATCCTTCGATGTAAATTTTTATCTGTTTTATCAACTAAATAAAATATTTTGTCTAAAATTTTATTTATCTGAAATTCAAACTGAAAATCTATTTAGACAATTATATAATTTTATTTTTGGCGTCATTTTCCAATATAATTGTGTAAAGATCTAAACTGATTCTCAAGTCACTGAAGTACTCATCAATTAGAAAAGAAACGGAAAAAAAATATGAATAGCTTTTAACAAAACAAAACAAATATAAAAAGCGGAAGTTTAATTACTTATGTATTCATAGTAAGGACTAAATTCAATTCTTTTCATTATATTTATCAAGAAGTTGTCTTTCTATGTTTTTATTTACATCTACTTGAGCAGACAAGATAGTTCTAAAATTGCAAGAACTTTTCTATTCTATACTTTTTCTCTTTTCATTAACTGAATACACTTGTTTGAACCATATATTCAATATTAATACGTGGTGATAATACACTATTTTAAAAACTAAATCAGAATGTCCGAATAACCTTTTTCTGAGAGTAAATATAAGAGTTTAATACAGAAAATTCTTATAAGAAGAATATGAATAGGAAATAATATTTCCTTGGTTTTGTTTGATTCAAAATTTTTTAAGAGAATAATAGTTGTTACTTAAAACAGATTAAAGAAATAAAAGCTCGTTTTCTGTTTATAATATCTTTGACAGAGACAGAAAAATTGATAGGTTTCATTTTCATAAAATTTCAGTCATTATTTTTCTTCTTTTAATTTGTTTTTTGGAGAAGCAAATAAAATCATCATGGTTCTTTACTAGCTTACTGTTCTTAAAAAGAATATTTTTGATTTTGATAGACCATTAAGTGTAGAATTCTATTATATAATTTGATTTAGTTTAGGATAAAAAAATAACATAAGGGAATATTTAGCATTATATAATCTGAAAATTTATTAAAATATTCATTATGAAATGATTTTATCAAAAAGTCATAAAACATTGAAAATAAACAAAAATTCTCTACATATAATGAAAATCTATATACTAGAATAATCTTGAAAGGATTCAAACTCAAACATCTTCCTTACAAAACTTCGTTGGTTTAGTTAGATTTTTATCAAACGACTGAGTCTACTAGCGTCAGTGTAAATGACTGCTTCCTTCTTCAGATATTCAATGTTCAAAATCTTGTGATTTTTCACACTGTTTCTAATATTTAATCGGTTTTTGAATATTAAATATCTGAAGAACGAAGCAACCGTTTTTTTCTGACACTTTCAGAATATGTTTAGAATTGAAAATCTAACGAAAATTTCTTATAACTCAGTAAAGAAAATCTTTGAGCATGAATTCTTTTGAAATTTGTCTAAATTAAGAGATTTTATTTACATTTATTCAAAATACAAGTTGTAAAGCGACGAATCTCGTTGATCGAAGCTTCCTCATTAGTTTTTTTTCTTTATTTTACATTTATTTACTGTGTAACTAAGTTCATTTTGCAATATTCACGCTGTCTATAGAAACCTATTGAGTTGATATATGTTCTCTACATGCATTTTTGTATATAATAATTTTCACTTATGCTGTGATCATATAGAAAGACGTCAAGAACAGAAAAATATTTTGTTTAAACACATGTCCTACTAAATGTCTATCCTATCTCCTATCATTTTTTTGCCTGCTTTTGTCATCTGCAGCTTAGATAATCATATGTGAATATGTGTATCATATATAAAAGAAATATTAATGTAGTTGGAGATAGCTACGTTTAATAGGTTCTTTCTTGTGTATAGGCTTCATGAAAACTTAGATTCTTCTATATGAATGTTGAAATGACAGATAACTTTTTGTGTAGATGACAGAAGATAAATTACTGGATTTGTTTTTTCTTTTTAAACTTCCTACATATTCTATAGTTAAAGAAAATCAAGAATATGTCTCAAGTCAACTCTATTAGATTAAAATAAAAATATTTCAGTGAATATCATTTACATAAAGCAGTAGCCATAAAAATGCTGACATACTGTTGTTTTTTATATTGTTTTTATTATAGATCAAAAATTGATTACTCTATTTGTTAATTGTGTTATTTTATTTTTTTGCCTAATACAATAAAAATTTCTTCGAAAATGTTGTACGGCATTGTCATGGATACTATTCGAGATGGTATTCTGCGTTCCTATGGAGTGATTATGTGGAAACGTGTTGTACACGAAGTTAATTTACCATTTGAAACATTTGAATTCTATTCTCGATATGATGATAGTCTACTTATAAAAATTTGTGATTGTAAGTTAATTTCAATTTATTAGTCCGTAAATTAATTTTCATATCAATAGGTATGGTAGAGATTTTAAATGATGGTACGCGTGATACATATTTGGAATTCTTTGGTACAAATTTTATACATTATTTTTACAGATATGGCTTTGATAAAATACTTCGAATTGCTGGAAGAACATTTCGTGATTTTCTTTTTGTTATTGATGAATTACATGATTCAAATCGATATACTTTTCCACAAATGAAACATCCATTATTTCATGTTACTGAAGAAGATGAAAAAGGAACAACACTTGTTTATAAGTAAGTGATTAATTATAATGTGTTTTATCCAGATTTCCGCTTTCGAAGAGGCAGTTTAAAACTTCGAGAAGACCAACTTAATCTTGGAAGGGGTGCGCTCCCTCAGCTTTTGCATTGGATAAAACACTTATTAATTGTTTTGAATTAAGAGCCAAACTATGTTTAGAAGCCCACGTCATGGTCTCACTCATTTTGCTATTGGTGGACTTAAAGCTGTAGCTTCATTAATATACAATCAGAAAGATATTCATGTAACTGTACAACATGATTTTTCCACTGATGATTGTAAGTATCATTATAAATATCGCTTATAGATTTTGTTTTCATTGGGTTTTATTAGATTCGTATATTGTCATTTGGATACAATTTGATAATAAGAATTATGAAATGAAACGGTTGGTTAATTTTTCATCTTTTCCCAATATAAGTGTGACAACTTTTCTTCAAGTAAATATTAAAAATGTTACTTTATTTTGAAAATAAGAATTATATTCAAAATATAGGTATTTCCATTTTCTATTCTTATGGATTCATCGTTACGTATTCGTCATATGGGTAGAAACATTGTCCAAGTTTTTCCTGATGAAACTCCTTTAATTGGACGATTATTAAACGACATCTTTCAGCTTATTCAACCAGAAATTTTTTTCGAATGGGATAAAGTATGCTTTGATTATTCTCTCTTCTAATAATACAATCTATATTTAAGATTTTTTCCTATGGTCAACATATTGTCTTTATGATAGAAAATCGACTTCCACTACGTGCTGGACCATCAAGTAGAATTCGATTGAAAGGTCAAATGAAATATATACAACACAAGAATATGTTATGGTTTCTATGTCACCCAGTGTAAGTTTACACTACTTTTCTTTTTCTATTAAATATATGAAAGACAAAAAATATGTGAATATTATAGTTTAGGAATTATAGATGATATGATTTCAGCTGGATTACATTTGACTGATTTGAATTTGTTTGATTGTACAAGTGGTTTATTGATTACTGGTACAAATCAAGGGCGACAATTAGAGGAGACTACTTTCAAAGTTAGTTTTATTATTATTATTAATTTTTTTTTAATTTTCTTCAACTTATAAACGTTTGACTAGCAAAAGGAATACACGAGAAAAGCATCATGCATACGAAAAAAATTAAGTTCATGTCATAAAATGAATCAATGTTTACTCTATTCAACTATGCCAAAACATATTGCACAATTACTTCAATCTGGTGTACAAGCTAATAGTATCAGTGAAGTAAGTCATATTCTATTTATGTCATTAAATTGAAATGTTTTCGAAATGTTTTTAGTGTCAACCTTTTGTTAGTATCATGTTTGTAAATGTAATGGGTTTACAAACGTTAACTAATCATTTTGATGCTGCTCATGCTATAACATGTCTTAATAGAGTTGTCGTTTTATTTGATGCAATTGCTGACAAATATGATGTATTCAAAGTAGAAATACAAGCAGATGCAAGTTATATGGTAGTTGCTGGTATACATGATCAAGCGTATATTGCTCGAGCGCAAAATGAATCACAATTGGTAGAAATATTTTTGTTTTTCTTTAACAAAAATTAAGGATTTAATTGTGTATATTTATAGTCATTGATGTCGTCAGCGAATGGAGAAGGAAATAATAAAGAAGAAAATAATGATCAAAATAAAAATTTATTTGAATCGAATTCAACTGAAATTATTGCAGCATTATCACTGGAACTTTTACAAGCTAGTCAAGATGTTCATAATCCTATAACTAATAAACCATTGAGTCTTATATTTGGTAAGAAATATAATAAAGCAATTTAAAATATTTTGATCACATTTCAAAAACTAGATCTTATAAGTTTTAATTTTTTATTAAGGATTTCATTCGGGTATGGCCATATGTGGCATTGTTGGTACACGAACTTATCAATACTGTCTATTTGGTGACACTGTTAGAATAGTAAGTTTTTAACATAGAGAAATAAGAGATTCGTGAAACTGTTTCACGCGTCGCGCGCTCCTTTTATTTATTTTTTGGTCTCTAAACGCGTTTCGCAAGGACGAATTCGTTTCTTCCAGGATGTCTCAAAATATGCTATGTTGTATCACGCAAGGCTGCCTTAAAAATCTCTGATATATACTCTCATATAATATGCTTTATTTTTAGGCAAGTCAAATGGCGACCACTGGAGAAGTAAATATGATAAGACAATACTACTGAAATATTCAGAGATTTTTAGGTTGGCCGAATACATATGAGTCAGACAGCATATGGTCATTTGGTAAGAGGTCAACGTTTTACAATGGAATATCGAGGACAAGTCTATATTGAAGTATCTTAATAAGTAAAATTTAATGTAATATAGTTTTTGAGGTATTTTAGGGTAAAGGGCCGATTGATACTTTTTGGTTGACAGGCTCAAATATGATATCTCCTACTACAAGCATCAATAATAATTCAATATCATCGAAATGTCCATTGAGTAACTTTAATTTGACATTCGAATAAAATATACTTAATTATGAAACAATTTTTTGTTTTACTCTATCATAAATTATTTTTATACATATAGATAATAGGTTTTTGGAAAATATAAGATTCAATGAAACTAACATTGGATGAATTGATTTCAATAGAATTTTTGAGAAGTATATAGACTTTAGACACAATCTCAACTTTTCTCAACAAATTTTAATACATTTTATGTGAGCAAATCAATTCAACCAAGATATCTTTTTTCAAATATTTTAAAATCAATACTGAATCAAAACGTACATAAAGAAATGTTGATTGGAGTAACATATTATAGGTAAGAAGCTGTGCGTCTACGTTTTTGGGAAGATGAACCTACAGTTCCCAAATCACATTAATGAATGAATTTATGAAAAATAGTAAGTTCTCGGCACAATAAAAAATGATTTTGATAATTGTTATTGTAGAATTTCTGTAATTTGTTGAGTATTTTTCTCATTTCGACGCCCATTTATATCAAGATTTGGTATAAACAATATTTTCTTCGTCTGTTCTTGGCGTTATGTTATAGATGAGCAAATAGATTTACTAAAGATCCTTCTTTTCTCTGATGAAGAAAGAGTACTTGCAAGGTCATAGACATCAACAACAACGACGTCATTTATATACGTTGATTAAAATTAGATTTTCATCAATTGAGAATGTTTTTTTCTCAAAAAATCTATATTGAAGGAAGCACGTTATAAACATGTTTCAATGCGTAAGGCTAACTCGACCGACGGAAGAAGAAATTAAGGATATAAGACTTCCATAATCATAAAAGATTTATGATTGCTTTTACAAGTGAAGCTGAAAATGTTTTCTCTCTCTCTGAAACATTGCAATAGCCTTTCAATGTTTTGTGACAGAACATTTCATACCGAAATTAATGTGTAAAATTATTTTTTTTGTAAATGAAGATAAAAGCGGGAACACACACACACAGGAACCAACACCTAGTAGGCTCTTATGGATCTCGATATATATTCTGTAAAGTTTGCTTACTTACTGCACCTACATATGCTTTGAGAGATCTTACAAATAAATCTTTCATATGAAATAATGATTGACTTAACAAGAAGACGACAGACTTGTAAATGTCAATCAAACATTCATTCTAACCATGACCTTTTGTTAAAGTTAATTTAAGCATCAGTATGATAATACCAAGTTTTTGGATTAGTAGAGTTTACTATTATTCTTAATTAATGTTCATTTTTCTATGACATGTATATCGTGTATACATTTCATCTTGTTTATATTTGGACAACATCAATGTAAGACATGTGACATTTTACATAGTGTATTTTTCCTACAGAACAATCATATAAAATTACTTATGATTCTCAATCATATTCAATAGTACCTTTTGTTCGACAGAATTAGACGGATATTTATTTCTTGTTGTTTTTCTATGATTACATGGTATTTTTTCTAATTTTTCATGTATTAGTTGATTCATGAATTTTTCCGCTTTCTGATGCTCATTAATTATACACTTTTTTGTGTCTTATTCATCATGCTTGATTTGCTAATTATTTTATTAACAACGAACAGAAAGCTATATATAGACAATTAAAAAAATACTGTAAATTAGTAGTGTTTTGTTCGAAACCGATTTGTTACGTATATATGATTGATTTTCAATGTTTTTTTTAATGATAAAACAGAACTTTTGACTTTAATTACAGATTATAATTTGTATTTGCATTCACTCTGAACAGTTTAATAGCTTCGCTTTGTGTTCGTTCGTGCCGGTACTTTGAGTTAAAAAGAAGTAAAGTCACTCAACAAAGGTACACAGTTTACGTACTGATTAATCAGTAGAGCGAGGGGAACGTCTATGATTGGATCAACAAAGATCTCAGTCAATTCAAATGTTCTTTCACAGACAAATTTAATGATCTCATTCGACTATTGTATTGTATAATCTTATCAATGCCAGCATTAATTATTTGATGGGAAAATACTTTATTTCTTATCGATTCTTATAATTTACATTTTAAAAAATGAATATTCACCATATATCGAAGCGAGCATGTTAACATTGTACTTGAAAAATATAACATACTCGAATTCTTCGAGAAAATGCGCTGACTAAGAGCTTTGATCATTTCTCAAGAACCACTGCAGAATATAGATGGGTATGTATGTATAGTATATGAAAAGCCTACAAATATTGCTTGATGATTACATTTTTTTATCTTTGTCTATTTTTCTATCTTCTCGAATGCTTTCATGTTATAATTGATTCTCTCGAACGGTTGTCACGATAAATTAGAGTTGTAACCAATCGGTGATTAGACTGTTTGTTGAATTATTATTAATCGGCTAATTGGAATAACTACAGAAAACATTCACTTTCTTTTTTTGCACTCAGTTTTTTTACGAATCTCTAGGGAGAAATATAATGCTAGTCATTTATATTTGTTAGTCTTTCCAAAGATGAATATATGGCATTTCTATACGCAGTGCACAAAAAAAAAGAATTATTCACGAAATATTGATTAATTCCAAATCTAGAATTCTCTTACTTAACCTTTTCAGACAAACCAAAGTTTGATCTTTATTAAAATATTTATGATATAAGTTTAGCTCAAGTAACGTAGTTTTGATTGTGCTTTTTAAAAATGAAATGTACGGACGAACAGTCAAGAAATTTAATCAAAGAAAAATGGCATATCTATAAAATTCTTTCCAGTGGATAAATATCGTCTGGTTCGGTTACAACTCTATTATGAGTCTTGTATTATCTTCAACAATGCTTACTATATGTCAGACAATGATTATTGTGAACAGAATTTATCTAATTATTGTTAGTTTCAAAATGTAATGCTAACATCAAATTCTAAAGAACTTTGTTTTATTTGAAGTTTCATAACATATTTAAATCATTCAATTAATTCTATTTTTGATATGATATATTATTATTGTCAGCAAAAGTAGATGACCTAATATTTGTCCAAATCTATCGTCATCATTTATTAGATGATGTTAGTAAAAGATCAATTCTTTAAATGATATTGACATAAATAGAACAATTGTCTTAAAGTTTTTTGCTTTATACTCATTTCATTCTCAATCACTCTTTACTTAATAATTCTATCAAATCAATAAAGATTATTTTAGAAAACCAAAACTGAAGAAGAATTCTTTTTTTGCAATTATTTTATCTCTAAAGCAAATGCAGCTGGCGCCCTCGTCAAATTCTTCTCTATAATTGGGTCAAACTATCTATTTAAGAGATTGTGAGTGAGTTTCTAGGTTTTTCTTTCTTATCAACACTTGTTTGAATTCCTAAGACTCAACAGTTTATTTGAAGTATCATGGCAAATCTTAATGTTATTGAAGCTGTTCGTTTTTATATTATGCGAATGATTGAAGATTGCGGTCAAAATATAAAAGGATTTGTTATGGATAAAGAAACGGTTTGTCATAATAATAAATACTTTAATAATATTTTATACTATTATTTAAAGGCTTCCATTGTTAGTATGGTTTATGCTCAATCTGAAATTCTTCAAAAAGAAGTTTTTCTTTTCGAGCGCATTGATACAATTGGACAAAAATCATTCAAACATTTGAGTGCTATTTGTTTTTTAAGACCTACTGAAGAAAATATTGAAGCATTAGTACGTGAATTACATGAACCAAAATATGGAAGTTATTATATTTGTATGTTATTTTATATTCTTTTAATTATTTGAAACATTAAGGGAAAAAAAAACAAATCAATTTGATTTAGATTTTAGTAATTTTGTTGAAATGAACTATATTAAAACTTTATCTGAAGCCGATGAATTTGAATGTATACAAGTTATACAAGAATTTTATGCAGATTATTTAGCCATCAATCGACATTTATACTCACTTAATATTCCAATGACGTATCAAGTAATATGAAATAAAATGGAATGAATTTGTTTTTAATGTTTAGTTTATATTAGAAAAATTATGAATGGAATGATATCCATCTTCGTCGAACAGTTCAAGGACTTATTGCATTATTATTTTCATTAAGAAAGCAAAGTGCAATAATTCGTTATCAAAAGTCATCAAATATGGCACGAATACTTGCTGATAAATTATCCGTAAATAATAAAAAAATAATTAGAATTCTAAAATAAAATTTATTTTTTTTCCTTATTAGAGTACTCTGATGCGTCAAGCTGATTTTGCAACATCAAATATTAATGATATAAATCAAACAATTGTTTTAATTGTTGATCGACGTGAAGATGCAATAAGTCCATTACTTAATCAAGTTATTCATTTCATATAGTTATTAAAAAAAACAAATAATTTGTCTTTTAGTGGACATATCAAGCAATGGTTCATGAATTAATTGGTATAAAAAATAATCGTGTGAGTCTTAGTCAAGTACCAGGCATTAAAAAAGAACTTGAAGAAGTTATAATGAATGCTGAATATGATGAATTTTATACAAATGTAAAGAATTTATTTTCATATATATGTAATCCTTTTCTTTTGATATCTCTAGAATCTTTATAGTAATTTTGGTGAAATAGCAACAAATATCAAAGGATTAATGGAACATTTTCAAGAGAAACATAAAAGTCAATCAAAACTTGAATCCATCACTGATATGAAGGTTTGATTATTAAAGAAAAAGAGTTTTCTCTTCATATATTCATCTCATGTGATTCACATCGAACAAAAATCATCGATAGATCGTTCGATGTAATGTGCACTATATCCTCGGTATTTTGATACTGAACCGGTTCTCTATCCTCTGATTGCCATTTTGCCTCAATAGATCGATAGATATTCTCTAATTGGCATTCTCCTGCTAGTATACCGTTGGTTCTTAAGAGTGCTGCAATATACTGAGAGTTATTCTCTAATTGGCAATCTGATGCCTATACACAGTTATTGTTCATGAGTACTGCAATATACTGAGAGTTATTTTCTGATTGGCAATCTACTGATGCTATACCGTCAGTTCTTAAGAGTACTGCAGTGCACTGACAGTTATTATCTGACCGAAAAACTAGCTGCCGGTAAACCATCGACTTTTAAAAGTATCGCAATGTACTGACAGTTATTTTCTGATGGAAAATCAACTGCCAGTGAACCGTCGACTTTTAAGAGTACTGCAATATATTGATTGTTATTTTATGACTGACAATCAACTGCCAGTAAACCGTCGGTTTTAAAGAGTACTAAAATACGCTGATAGTAGTTTGCTGACTGACAATATACTTGCAATGTACCATCGGTTTGTTTGAATCCTGCGTAATATCGACAGTAGTACGAAGAAGTATGTGACATTAAATGTCAAATACCAAAGTGCTGTTTTCCGTCAAAAACATTGAATAATGATATTGAGAAATATAATTTGTCATTCTTTCTTCGAATAGAAAAGATCAAAGTAGATCATTTGTAAATTCTAAAGCAAAGATAAATGACATTGACAAAGAGATATGATGAAAACAATCTAATTATTTTAGGCATTTGTGGAAAGTTATCCGCAATTTAAAAAATTATCTGGTACCGTATCAAAACATGTAACAATTATCAGCGAATTATCACGACTCGTTGGTCTCTATCATTTACTTGAAGTTAGTGAAGTCGAACAAAATCTTATTTGTCAAAGTGATCATAATGGAATTGTTCAAGTATGTATTTTCATATAAATTCTATTTAATTAAATTTTAAATTAAATAGAAATTAAAAAATTTAATAAAAGATGATAAAGTTCGAAATGAAGATATGCTTCGACTTCTATGTTTATATGCATTACGTTATGAACGTCATTCAAATAATGAATTGAATACACTTAAAAATGAAATACAAAAACATCGCCGATTTCCGGAAAAATATATTCATGTAATATTTATGAATATATATATATTTTTAAATATAAATTATTAATATATAGCTATTTTTATGATTAGTTTATTCAAGCATTACTTGATTATGGTGGTCAAAAATTTCGACAAGCCGATTTATTCAATGCACAAACACCAATGGCTATAACACGACAATTTATTCGAGGCTTAAGAGTACGAAAAGAATTTTAAAATATTTTATGGGCACATTTATACAGATGTGTATATATTTTAGGGAGTTGATAATGTCTATGCCCAACATGTACCATTAATAAAAGAATTACTCGAACAATTATTACGTAGTAAACTCAAGGACACATTGTATCCTAGTGTCATCTCAAAAGATCAAGTACCATTAAATAACCGCCATACAACAAATCAACAGAATCAATTACAGCAACAAGGACAACAAATAAAGTAAAGTACTTTATCTATATATATATGTACACATAAATTCCAATTTCCGTTGGAATTTTTGTAGACCAAGCGAAATTATTGTTTATATGATTGGCGGTATAACATATGAAGAATCATTTCATATTCATATGATGAATAAACAAAATGCACGAATTATACTTGGCGGTTCTTATGTACACAATTTTTCATCATTTATCGATGAAGTTATTGGTGGAGCATCATCAAATTGATTTGTTGAATCGAATAAATGAGTTTTACCAAAAGGCCGTTAGCTATATTTATTTATTTTGTTATATAAATATATATTAAATTTTTTCAATGTTATGAAATATTAATTTTATATTTATTGAAAAGAAAATATATCTATGCATTTGATTATAAATAAATCATGAAAAGAAACATAAAATTAGATCTATTGACAAGATAGCATCTCATTCATCGTGAACAGATAGATGGATAGATGTGATGTGTGAAGGATGAAGACTTTTCTTTTTTCTTGTTTTTTTGGTATGTAGAAGATGAATAGGGAATTCTAGAAAAAAAAGAGAGATTGTGAATCGTGCTTCGACATTTTCGCTCTTATGATTGAACGGTTATCGTCCTCATCGTCCTCATCTTTTAACATAGTAATAGAGCAGAAAATGGTTCCGATCAGTCGGCAATAGATCAAATAATATCAAGTAAGTATTTAAAGACCGTTACATATGTGCATTTGATACTATTAAACCTTGAATATATTAGAACAGGTTCATGTTCAAAGAAAAGAAAAGAAAGTAAAAGTATATTTGTCTTTTCTCTTCCAATTCATATATAAATGTGTGCTTTGGCTTGCTTCTATTCCCTTCTCTATTCTCAATGATATCGGCAGTTTGGAATAAGAATGTTACTAAGAGAAAGAAAGCCGTACTGTAGCGATTAACATGGGCAGTAAGTAAGCGAGCGTGAAGAGCATAGAGACGACAAGAAAAAAGGGTCTCATATGACGCGTGTATGCTTAATGAGATGCTACTTTTGCGTTCTTTCTTTCTCTCTTGGTAGCTAGCGGCAGACAAAAACAGAAAGGCACTTCTATTGCGATTGCCTGTTGTCGAGCATCCAAACTACAGTACGATCAGTTAAAGGCGAAGATAAAGAAAATCTTTTTTCTTCTCTTTTCTGTATGTGTATATTCCATCCTCCTTCGTTTTCCTTTTCCTCTTCTCGTTCTTTGGTTTCTACTAAGCCTCTATGTCTTTAACGTCTGAAAAACAGATAAACAAGACAGAATAGTAGACCTTGTTATTGCTGTTGTTGTTGTTGTTAATATTTCCTGGCTTAAATCGATTTTACACTTGTTGGCATTTTGTCCATAATGATGTGTTTCGAAACTATTAACATTCATCGATACAGTTACTGACCCTATCATGCCACTATCGGCAGTTTCACCGATATCAAAAACTTATTCACGAACAATGAAAACAACTCATTTATTAATTCGGGTAGGTATTTTAACTATGTAGATAAACATTCTCATTCATTATCTGTCACACATTAACATCTGTATTTGCTAACCTTTATCGTAAAACCAGATACATACATCATTTACTATTATGCTAAGAAAAAAAAGAAGTTTTAAGTGTATTTTATTCTATGTTTATTCAAGCCATTGTCTTGAATTTAGTAAAAAAAAAAAAGAATGATTACATAAATGAAGGAAATTGTATTGGTAAGACGAAAAGATTAGTTATTACCTCTCTCTCTTTTTTTTTCTTTTCATTGGACAAGAAATTTTGGTCCATTGTAGACCTTTCATTCACATTTTATAAACACTTTTCATTTTTATCGATTCATTTTCTACAGGTTGTCTCTAGTGAAACATTTACACGCTTTATCAATCGTGAACCATTCATTTTATTACAGCCACAATGTGTCATGCGTGCATTTCAAATATGTATTTATCTACCAACATTATATGATGATCCATGGCTTATATTCAAAGGTAAATTAATCTAAGTTAATTGAACAGTATTCTCGTTTTTGTCGTAAATTTCAAATAGTAAACAAACTGAAGTGAAATTCTACAAAGAAAAGGCTTTGCTTCTTTCTGTTGTTCAAATAATTAATGTGAAAAATCGAATTTTTGATTTTAAAAATTTGAACAAAGGTACATTGTGGTATAGTACTTAGAATGTTCTTAATTTCTATTCATACGTAATTATATAGTTTGAAGAACATATCTTTCAACACCTAATGTATTTTCTTTTATCGTATCAACATGTCGCAGTTTTGTTAACATATAGTGATAGATGGATGGGTATTTAGATAATAACTATTATCTTCCCACATTGTTTTTGTTGTAATCTTTTAATTCAGATGCCAATCTTGCACTGCCTATTTACCATAAGTTCGCTTGTCACTGTCGTCGTGGTTTTTTTTTCTTTCTTCTCCTAACAATTAAAACCTGTTGTCGTCTGGCGACATATCTTCATTATCGATCATGCTGACTAAAAATAAGAATTTAGTATTTTCTGTATGATTTTTCGCAATCTTTTACAAAATAATGATCATGTGTCAGCTCTATTTACTATCTTGTCTATATAATTTATGAGCTATTAGAACTTATTAGTATTACTTATGTTCATTTATGACGATAAATGTTCAACAAAATTTGTTGGCTATCTCCTAATATTACTATTGTTGTTGTTGTTGTTAATATCATCTCATTAGACATACGGTAGTGATTAATAGTTTGGACCAAGACACTCAAACACATATATACCAATGACTGGTTTGTATTAGTATTTCTTTCTATGAAGAAAAAAGACAAGAAGAAGAAAAAACACTAAGCATACAAGATAGCTAGCTAGCGTCATATTCTCTTGGAACAAGCTCTCGTCGTTAAATAAAGAATAGTAGATGACAACGAGTAAGTGAGGAGAGATATTCGTCAGTCTACAAGAGATATCAAATACTGATTTACGCAAGTGTATTTTATAACGTAAATTATACAAGTGGTTTGTCGTGGCAATGTTTTTTATAAATTATATCAATTGAATTACACATAATTATGATTACGATTAGTACAACAAAACAGAATTGGAATCGTATAACAATACTTTTTCTTACAATATCTATTACACAAGTATTTATTAAATATGGTAAGATTATTATCGATAAAAAAAAATAAGAGCATACGTTTTTTATGTGCTTTATTTAAAGTTATTGCCTCAGAATATTCTTTTCTCGTCTTATGAAATAGAGGAGAAAATTCAATAACATGAAAAGTGTCACTGTCAGCTTATTAATCATAGAAAGCCATCTATTAGTTCTAATAGAAATCCACTCTGTTTTTTACATTATTCTATACTAAATATACATGTGGTGCTTTTTTCTCTTTAATTTATTGTAAAAAGACAGATTCCGCTCCGAAAAGCCTTCAAGGCTATATTTATTTATGTTTCTTGAGATGATCGACTATTTCATGGTAAATCTATCAAAGTATGCAAATCAAACGGATATATTTATTGTGCAATGCTGACAGAACAAACATTCTATACAGCACATATGATTTTTTATTATGATAAAAATGACTTTTGATTGATTGCGCAGAAATCGATTGTTTCATTTTTACGACGAATAAAAAAAAAATTAAATAAAAACCAAAATAAAACAGAAAACAATGTCTACGTCTATTGTATGCGACCTCTAAATATTCCATTTATGAAAGTATAAAAACAGACATTTCCAGAGTATATTAACAATAATAAATAATAAAATATTCGTATACATATAACAGAATACTTATCCTTCACTTTTATCTGTACTATATCACAACTAGTACATTTATATGTAATTAATTTTCTGCTATGCTTATCTTTTCATTCTTACCTTACAGCTATTTTATATCTGAGAATAGTTACAGTAGTCTAGACTGTCCTTCTCATGATATTTCTTTATGTTCATTCAGTAAATTTTACAAGATATCCAATAGATCATCATATGATTCCGATGATTGTCACTGACGTTTATCAAATTCGTTGTTTTTCTTTTTAACCCTCAATGATTGATAAATACTATTACAAATATATCCAGTTACGCTATTTTTATATTTGCTTTATTGTCCTTGTAATATTTTAAACTACCGATCATTCTTTCGAACAATTATAAATTGCTTTTATTTTTCTTAATCCTTGTATTCATTTATTCTTTAGTTACATTATAACTAAAAACATTGTGTTGACTATATATGTTGTCTTCACAGACGAATATCCGTTCTGACGTATCTATTTATTGTATGTTTACGTGTAATGAAAGAAATATATGTGCACGACATCACTATGTATTCGATGCAAACATGTATATGTACATCATCGACAAGAAATTTATTTCGATGACATAAGTGGTGTCCATAGTTGCAGAGAGCAGAATTGCCGGACGAGCGTTTTGTACCTCGTTGTTTGTCATCGTTTATGTTGAGCTTCAGTATATTAACATTGTTGTTAATAATATCATATTTTCTTTCATACATTTACTTGAAAGAAATGAATGATTATGTTGATATGGCTATGGAACTTTCAAATCTTTCTTCTGAATCTGATTCTACGAGTAAGTCTATTTATCTATATTTTCTTTTTTTTTTTTTTGTATTAAACAATGGAAAAATCGTTTCATTGAATCTATCTATGTAAATTATGAATATGTGATTTGATTTCATAAGAAACGAAAAAACTTCATCATGTATGTGTGTTAGTAATTATAAGAATCGATTGATGATTGTCTAAATGATTTTGACAATCGTTGACGTCTGTCTTTCTTTTTATTTATGTAAATAATCATTTTTCCATTGGCGAAAAAAAAAATCTAGAGTAAATGTTTTTCATTATTCTTAAAAATTCAATTTCTTACATGATACTGTGTCTCAGAAAGAAAAATCTAAATATTATCTTTTGTAAATAGCTAACAGGTGTGTTTTTCTTTTCATCAATGACTATAAAAGAAATATGTAATCGATATCGTTGAGAAAAGAAATAAATAAATACAGCTGATGTTTATAAAATTTATATTCTTTCGATCTAACGATTGTCTGTCGAAGTTTTCTTATGGATCTATATTTTGTACCCAATGAACTGATGATTCGTCGTGGCATTGATGGTTTATAATTTTCAAAACAAAACACACAAAAATCATAGATTATTAAGGACATATATTATACAATTATAAATGGATAATTTTATCAAAATGGTTTTCATAA